TCCTGATGCACACACTCATTCATTCATTCCATTCCAATGACGCACACACGGCGCGCAGAAAGACGTGCAACAGTATCGTGTGGCCAGACAGCGCGCCGGAATGGAATTCTCTTTCGCACTTGAACAACAATAACACAAACCATTATGCCAAAATCTCCGACTACGGAAGCCTGTTAACTCAAAGGCTCAGTGCTTTCTTGCAATTGGGTCGGTTCATGTTCACACCGTAAACGAACCGTACCAGAGTTCGTTTGGAACCGTACCGAGACCACCTCTTCAGCTGGGTCTCGGTTCGGTTGTTTGGTCCGCACCCGAGTTCGATTGCTGTATTCACACCTGCCCAAAAGGTCCGCACCAAGGGGGGAAACGAACTAGAGTTCGATTCAATCGAACCAAACAAGGCAGGTGTGAATACACCCTGAGAGGGAACAGTGTAGTTCTCGTGAAATGTAGGCCTGGTCTACACTAATACTGTACGTTTTCATTTGAAAACGCATCTTTTTCTCTACGGTTTGGCCTTCCGTCCACACTGAGACGGGGTTTTTATTAATGAAAACTACGTTTTTTGAAAAAACGTTCCCCAAAGTGGATAGATTCGAAAACGTCGTTTGAGCGTTGTAGTGTGCATTGTTGTTGTTTACACGGTGACCGCTTTCAAAAACTTGCACTTTGAAACCCGTTTTCAAACGATTGCGTTTTCAGCCACCTAAAACGCCGTAGTCGTGTAAACGAACGGCCAAAACGCATACAAAGTTTTACGTTTTTAGTTGAAAATGGTGTCGTGTAAACAGCCCCTTAGAAGTTAAATCAGACCATTGATCCCCAGAGAACGAATCTTCCTTGGGGCGAGAGGATCTGTGTGTGTCTTCAGTCAGCTCTTTACTCCACGAACATAAAAGAAGAGCCGGCCGGCAGCGGGTTTTGCAGCCTGGCTTGCCTTTACATGCAGGGACACTTATCACACCTAGACCGAGATACAGGGCCTAGGGGCAGCGTTTATTGAACAACAGTGCTTATCTCCTGCACACTGAGCACTAGTAGGAAAGGCAGAACCTTAACGGGCCCTACACTACAAACACACGAGCGAGAAACTACTAAATAGGTGGCCCTCACACCATTCATCACCTCGCAAACACACCGAAGGTCTGCTCTCAGAAACACACACACACCCCTAATCTTCAGGCCCTGGATGAGTCATGCAGTGCTCCCTGCCATAATACAAATAATGACACTTTTTATGCCAGTCATTACGCAACTTGCTCACACTTAAGTTACATTCTGCTACAATGCAGGTTAAGAGCAACAGCTGCAGTTATACTTGTGACCCTGAGCTGCCATACATTCTCCATCTGAATCAACCTTTTGTCCTGGGTGACTGTAATTCAGCATTGATCACAAGTGAGTCTTTCTTTGTTCACAGAAACGCAAATAACAATGCAGAGATGAGTCTGTTGCTTCTAATGCCACCAATTAATGAAGATGCAACAAGAACGACGATTATCTGAGAAAGAAGGGAATGATTAAAGGTCTCTGACATGTGAAGAGGAGACTGTTTCATCCAGCTCTGCTTGCTGAAGCAGGGGAAGAGACACCAGCAAAAGCCATACGGTTTAATGTAGAATAGATCAACTTTGCTTTCAGACATTTGAGCCCTCAACACACAATAAAAAGAGATGGGGTTGTTTCTTGAACTCCACAAGAAGTGTTCAGACAGTTGCATGCATGATGAGTTACACTGTTATAATGGTAACCCGAACACCTCTTACTAGACTACAACTGGACGCGGTTTTTGTGAAATCTCAATCATATTAAAACAAATAAATACTTACTCCGAGACTGCGGGTGAATCTTTAAGCCTTTGGGAGCCAATTTCCCGCCACTCACTTTCCTCACGCGCAGGTGAGACCTTGAGATCCGCGCGAGGACTAAGAAATGAGGAAACGTCAAAACAATTTCCTCTGTTTTTCCACGCCGTCTTATCCGTTAAAACTGATTTTTACAACAGTGGTAGGTAAATGTTTCGATTATCTGTGTGATGATGATACACACGCTGTCTTTGAGTCCTACCTGTCAGACTCGGTGTTCACTCGATAACGCCAGGTGTGAGTGAACAAAACTTCACTCGAAGTTGGTCCTGTGAGTGTATACCAAAAGTTCAACAGATTTCTTGCGTTTTATTCATTTATTTCAGTGTGTATAATAGATTGTGCTCTACAACCGCTGTCGCATTCTCACTCATTTCTGCCTCGCGTTTCTGTCGCTTTGATTACTCAATCTCACTCGCGCTGTACATATGCATCTATTGACAACCCACTCTTAAAGGGACAGCACACTTTTATTATGACAGCACTCCACATGTCAATGGACGACACTAAACTTAATTTTAAACTCAAGTCCACAGTTTTACCACCAGCTAACTGGCAAATTCTGAGTCTATTCAATATGTAATAGTTGTACATTGTTAGGGGAGGATGTATTGCTTTTTTAAAAGCACCTTCATTATAAAGCTTATAAAGCTTCAGTATAAAACACGAGACTGCGTTAATAAGAAATATCTATTTGACGGCTGTTAAGGCGAGTTAAATGAACAAAACCTCGGTTTAATAAATTATGGCAGTGCCACCACATTCATAAGAGCTTCAAAGAGAATTCTACTCTAGTACTCTAGTTCTACCATCTGGTCATTTGAAGAATTGCAGACAGGTCCCTACACACACAAATACTGGTGATTGTATAATACAATGAAACATCAGTTCAGTGTGTGCATTCATTTAACAAATGTAAAGCAATAAATCGAAACCTACTACTTTTACTGGTGTCTACTATTTGTAAATTTAGCTGAGATGTAGAACCCAATTTCTCTGAGGAAAAGCGCAATGTCAGATTTTGTTTTAAATCTATTAATACAGTGTAGATGTTGAATTCTTGTGCTGTGCCATGGCACATGCAAACTGATTATGAATAATATGTCTTTTAAAAAAATACTTATTGAGTCATAGATGTCCTGGTTTAAAATGTGAGGTTAAACAAGTGATGAAAGAACCTAAATGTAGTGTCAGTGTAGTAATTTTAGATGAGTCGCTCCACAGTTATCTTGACACAAAGAGCTTCCACATGGATCCAAAAAAGCCTTCGGTTTAAATGAGTTGTTCAAACTTTTTATTAATTACTTGCAGACTTATCATAAAACTGAGAATCATGTGTAATGCTATTAACCAATTATGTCCAGAACAAAACTACTACTGCCATTACAAAGCATTCTTCAGAAACTTTTTAAAAGATATGGATATATAGACAAGCATGAATCTGCAAGCGATAACTAAAGACATTGTTGTTAGAATAATCTTTAATCTCCATTTTCATCTCTTCCACATTATATGTTCAGACACATTTCAAAGTTGTACATCAGTGTCTTTCTCTTTATCAGTGCATAAACATTATTTTCTAATTGCAACTCGATTCATATTGACGGCCATGATGTGATGATAAACAGATGATACTGGTATCAAAAGGTAACCAGTAAAACCAATTAGCTGAATAGTTTCAATTAAATCTCAGTTTGAAGTTGAATACAATTTGATTGAAGTTAAATGCACACAAAGAAAAAAAAAGGAAAAGTATTTCAATCTTTAAAGCTTCATCATAATCTACAAGGCACAAACAAGTAATTGATACACTAGAAACAGAAGAAATATGAAAACCGAATAAGAGAACAGGACAGAATCTTATGACAGGATCTTAGAGGTTTCTATAGTTTTCGATCTCTGCTGTGATCCTCACCCACTCCACATTTGATTCATCCAAGGCAGAAGAAGGTAACAGCACTTGATTGTTCAATAGATTACATGACTCACAACAGATAACTAGCATGGTAGGAGTGTGTGAACATAGACGATTTGTACATCATCATGGGAAACACTGTTCCCGATAATTACATCCACACCACAGTGAAATATGAGGGGCACTGCCCTCGATATCAACACATCGGTAGGCAAAAACTACCATCATCTTCTTCGCATTATGGAAGGCACTGCTCCCGATAACTATTCTGGATCAGGCAATAACATTGATTCAAAAGGAGGATGCCAGAGACTAATTTATTTATTTTTAAGAAATGCACTGTGGTAGTTTCTGGTCATAGCTTTTGAAATCAAGGTTATCTCCGTAGCAGATGCTGCTTTCACATTTCGACAGTATAACTGTCATAATTATGGAAGGCACTGCTTCCGATAATTATACATTTATTAAAAAAGGCGTTACAAAATGCTATTTATAGTGATCCCTGTCACTGATAAATAAAAACAAACTAATAAATAGATTTTTCAGAGCCACATAGGAAAGCCTCTTTCTATTTGACAGAATTGATCTGAAATGCCCCTGAAAAGCGTATCAAACCAAAAAACTGGAAAAATACTGTGCTTTAGGATGCGTGTTATCACAGGTAAGTTAGATTGTCCAACTTAGCCTGTATAATAAACATCAACCTCTAAATCCAGACTGTTCAGGTTTTACGCAAGATGTTCCTACAATGAGTCTGAAAATGATGAAAATAAACCAATAACACATTCCAAATTTGTGTAATCTAAACTAGATCTTAAAGGAACAATTCACCCAAGAATAAAAATGTTGGATTATTGACCCTGATGTCATTCTAACCCCTTATACACTTTGTTCTGTTCTTCACACATACATTTTGGATGGATTCAAAAAGTTGAATTATAGCACACTTTTATGATGCTCTTGTGTCCTGAAGTTTGAAATCTCCAGTAATTTCATGTAAAAGAGCAACCAGGACATTTTTCACAATATCTTCATGCGTGTTTCACAGAAGAGGTTTGGAAGGACATGAGGGTGAGTAAAGGATGACAGAATTGCTATTCTTGGGTCAATCACTGCTTTAAATACTGAGGTAAACCTCGAATCATAAATTCACGTTAACAGAGCACCAATATCGTTTTCTCCTTTTTTGTCTCGAGTGATGGTTCGAATTTATCAAATTA